AGGCAACCGATTAGTCAATCTATGTTCGGTACAACCGCGGTGGCTTAAGGCACCCAAATGGGTCACGTGATAGCAGGCTGGGCTTGCCTCCAACAGATCATCACAAATCGAGTGCCAATTCCAATTTATAGCCTTGCCCCACTCGGCTCAGCTCAGTCGCGAGACGAGACGAGCCTAGGGCTGACAGGGCTCTTGCTCGCTTTGCCACAAGCTTCCTGTACGATGGCCTCTGAATACACTGCAGAGGACTATGCCCGGTGGTACGCTTGGCAACAACAGCAGCAGCAGTCGGCAGGCGGTTCCAGTGGAGCAGTGGATCCCTCCTTCGCCTATCCCCAATACGACGGCTCGTCTGCTTCTGCGTCTACCTCTGCTTCGGCCCAACATCAGGCTGCAGTGACCTCCTACTACCCCTCGGAAGCCATCACGGGAGGGTACGATGTAGATTTGGCAGCTCAGCAGTCGATCTATACGCCAGAAGCTGCCCGATCGTTCGTCACATCCAACAAGTATACCAAGGCCATGAAGGGCAAGGCGAGAACGACGGTGTTGAGAAAGGGCGCAGGCGAAGTCTGGGAGGATCCTTCGCTCATGGAGTGGGATCCGGCTCATTTCAGACTGTTCATTGGCGATCTGGGTAACGATGTCAATGACGAGACCTTGCTCAAGTCGTTTGGCAAAGAAGCCGGGTATCCTTCGTTTGTGAAGGCCAAGGTCGTCAGAGATAAAACGACGATGAAGACAAAGGGCTTTGGCTTTGTGAGCTACTCTGATCCGGACGACTTCTTGAAAGCCTGGAAGACCATGAATGGTGCGCTATGACTCATTCAACGTGACACTGGCTGACCACCACTTTTGGCGGATAGGCAAGTACGTCGGTTCTCGACCGGTCAAGATCACAAAGGCGACGACGCAAGTACGAGCGGTCGACATTGGCGCAAGGAAAGCTCGAGAGATTGAGAACAACGGGAAGAAGACGCACATCACAGGCAACAAGTTTGTCGGGCGTGGCTCCGGTGTCGCTGTCTCTCATGGCAACTACAAGCCCGTCATTCGACGATGACAGAGCTGTAATGAGCATATATTGTTGTATACGTTTACATCATGTTTCGTATCATATAGAGAGTGACAACACTGTGCAGACCGCCAAGAGGGCCATGCTTAATTCTGTTGCAAGAAGCCCGGCAGCACTGCTTTGTCTGTCGCACAATCAGCCTCGTCCAGAGGACAGCCCGTCGCGCTCACGAGGAAGTGGATGCAGCGGTAGGTGATGTGCTTGGCGATGAAGTCGCAGCGACGCTTGTACCCATGCTCGTCGTGCTACTGCTCGTCGACGAGGAGCTATCGAGCTCTAAGACCCAACTGATGCCTCCTTGGACGTGCGACAAGAATGTCGAGTCTTGCCACGTCATTGTCAGGTGGCCCAGGCTGGTGTACCACGTCCGACCTGTAGCAATAAAGGAGCCCGGTTGTACAACGGTGCCATCTGTACCGTTCTGACCATTTGTGTTCGTGCGATTGCCTAGATCGAGAGGAGTGTCTCTGTACCAGGCAATAGGATGAGGTTGGCCACCTTGATAGTACGGTCGTGTGCCGTTCTGTGGATCGCTGTATGATGCAGGGTCGACAGTGAGCAGGAGCGTGACGTTCGTCGCACGTGGATCACTACGATACTGGTAGACCTCCTCTTCGAATGATAAGACGGGCGGCAGGTTGCTTGTCGAAGGGTGATCCGAGTCGAGAACTTCGAATGTCTGCGCCTCCTTTAGAGTGTACACGACCATGGAGACTGACCAAGAAGGCGCACGGCTTCTTGCAATGTCGGATGATAGTCAAAGAATGCGCCCAGGGCGGTACCGAAGAAGGGTACATCGAAGAGAGCAGCGCTGCGCTGACGATTTGAGCGCAGGTCCATACTTGGCCAGCAGACGGATGCGCTGACTTTCCAGAATGAATGCCTATGAGTCCCTTGCCAGCCAAGAGATACGCCTCCAGGTTGGCTCTCTGAGTTGGCGTATCGAGGATCTCATCCGAGCTGGTCGGTATATATGAGACACAAGGCTACATAGCGCGGGATGGCCGCGCACTTTGATAGAAAGGCAATTGCATCGTACTCAAGCAGAGACGCTGTCGTGTTGAACACTGCAGGATCCTCACTGTTGACGACATTGTAGAGCCCCGTCGAGGCGTTTCGACCAAACTGTTCAATGGCAGCCACTGCAGTCGGGATAGACTCGTGCCTGTAGCCTGCCGTGCGAGTGTAGACCAAAAGCTGCGCAGCCTGGCACGTTGCAGCGAAGCACAGCCATAGCAGTGATAGCCTCATCTGGGAGCTCAGGAGCTGACGAGTAGCTTGGGCGTGGTCGCTGTGCACATGAGGAGGCTGACGAGTCGGTGATGATGCTTGATCCGCTGCTTGGCGCGACTTGGCAAGCTCAAGCGCTCACCACGGTCTAGCCCGGCTGGCCGCCCTGCCCCAGCATCACGAGGCGTCTGAGCAGATGCAGCGGCCGCCAGAGCTGCACGAGTGGCAGCTACCACCGAATGGCTCGTCAGACGGCCGAAGGCAGCTCGTTGATGCCTTTGCAACGCTGTCCAACGAAGCCGCAGCATCGAGGGCGTCACTTGCCAAAGGGCGTCAGCTGAGCATCACGCCCGTCTCGCACGACCACTACATGGCCTCTCACATCACGCCAAAGGCAGAGGGGCCCCCTTTGATGCCTATGCCTGTCGCCTACGAGGGTCAGTCGGTCGTTTGCATGATGCGCAGTCTGCTCATCTACTGATGTGGCTCAACAGACTTTCAGTATTCGCTGCCTGACTTGCCCATGGATCAAGACCTGCCGAACGACAGTGCTTTCCTGCTAGGGAGCTCTGCAGAGTTTGACATGAGCCTACTCGATGCGAGCTACAGGGACGGCTTGCCGCGCGATATGCCTCTCGGCCTACCCCCGACGAGCTTCGGCGGCCAGGCACCTCAGGGTAAACCATCAGACTTGTTCGATCCATCCGAGAAGGCCCTCTTCTCCGACTTTTTACATAGTCTCGAAGTCAACCAGGACTTTCTTTTCAATCCCGACTTGCCCCCAGATCTGCCCAAGCTAGACGATCCCTCCGGTCTGCCGGGCTCGCAAGAAGGTACACAATTGGGCGAAGAGATTGAGCGTCTGCATCTGAGGCACAAGCCATCCACAGAGCTACCCCGCTCTGCCTCGCTCAAGGATCTGAGCGCGCGCCCGGTCGATGCGACGCGTGTGAAGAAGTACAGACGGACAGATCATGCCGAAGGAGGCATGGATATCGAGGACGAGCAGAAGCCACGGATACCCTGTTCGCCTGCCAAGACACGAGTGCGGCGACCGTCTCTCCGTAGTCAGACCTCCAGTACAGAGACCGCCCGACCAACGGGTCCTTACTGGCGTCCCAATGCCGCTCTTGCTCGCATACGAGCACCCAGCACGGACGCTTCCCCTTCGCGATCTGCCGGTCAGACGGAAGCTTCCCTCAAGAAAGCCAACGGCAGTATCGTGTCTGAGCAGAAGAGGCGGACGCTCATAAGAGGTGGCTTCAAAGAGCTCGTCGAGATGCTACAAGCAGCAGAGAGCGTTTCCGGCCTGTCCATCGGTTCTGCAGAGCCCGACGCCAATCTTGCCAATCTGACAGCTGACGAGCGCAAAGCACGCAAAGCAAAGAGCAAAGGTAGAGGTAGAGGCAGGAAAGGCGAAGCGGGTGCAGGCGCGAGCAAATCTGTCGTGCTATCACAGGCAGTGAAGTATGTGCTCTGGGTCAGCGAAGGCAACCGCGCATTGGAAGAAGAAGTGAGGCGGATAGAGTCCACGGCCGGTCTGTACTAATCCATGTCAAGATGCTTGTATCAAATCATGTTGCATTGCACACTAGGTTGCACAGTCCAATACAAAGGCCACAATGAAGAACAGTCGTCTATCTGCGTTGAGTCTTGCCTGATTTACGTTTGCCAGCAAACAGATGCTTCGGCATCTTTGTGACATTTCGATGATCTGCTTCGCCTGCGCGGGCCATCCGATTTGGCGTGCGCTCCGCCAGACGACGCATCTTCTTCGCTTCATCGAGTTGACTCTCCTTGATACCGGCTTTGCGACGATCAGTGACAGGCTGTCGCTTGCCTGCAGTGACTGCTGCGACCGTCGCTCTCGCTTTCTTGGACTTGGCTGGGCCAGCTTGATCTGTCTCTATCGCGTCATCGTCCTCCCACGCATCTTCGTCGTCGACGTCCATAGCATTCTCAGATCTCTTACGCTTGCCAATCTTGGCACTGGCAGCATTCGCGGCAGCGAGTAATTTAGCTCTCTCTTCGAGCGTGCTCGGGTCGATACCCGACTTGCGCAGGTCAGCCGTCATCTCGCTGAGAGTACGTCTCTTGTTCGCACGAGGAATGACAGGCTTATTCTGAAGCTTGTTCTTCTGGGTATTGAGCAGACGAATCTGATCTTTACGTGATCGAATGTCTTTGGCAGTCGTTGTTATCGCTTCTTCGTCAGAATCGAGATCTTCGTCGCTCGCATAGAAGCCATCCGCCTCGAGCTTTTCCTCTTCCTTCTCGAGCTCTTCCAGTCGCGCAAAGATATCAGGATCAACAAAGTCGGCAATATTCTTGCCATCCATGACCTCTGGCACCACGTCGTACTTCCATTCGTCCTTTTTGAGCAGGTAGTTCTCTGCAAAGGGGTCCCCGTCAGCGCAGTGATCAGCGGAGTCGCGAACACAGCCTTACTTTTAAGATCCACGGAATGGACACCGGCACCGCCGGACTCTTCCTCGAGGTCAACTTCGAGCAGTCGTCGAGCAGGATCATTCTTATCATATTTGGGTCGGGTTGCAACGCCAGCAGGAATGAACGGCGTCCGCTCGACCTCGTCTCTTGCTCTCGGCATGGCAACTCTGATCCTACTTGCTACCGCTTCTACACGCTTGGTCTTCTCCTTGCCTTCAACACGGTGGGCAAGCAGAGCTTCACAAGCGGTATTGCGAACTTCCATGATGCCTTCCTCCGACAAGCAGGACAGCTTGAGCATTTGAACGTTGTCGCCTTTGAGGATCGTATCGAGTAAAGCAGCACGACTTGGCTCGAGATCTTCTGGCTTTGTGACATCGATTTTGTTTATGACGATGAAGACGGGTTTGTTTGCAAAGAGCGGCTTGATGGATTGATACAGTTTGCACTGTGTAGAAGCGCGAAGCGCGTCAGCGCGATCATGTTGAGATGCAGCTCGCTTACCTGGGCTTCGACAGTGTAGCCACATTGTTCGCTGAGGTCCATGAAGAACAGAATACAGCTTCGCAAATGCGCGAGCGCGGTGATGCTTTGCATCTCGATCGTGTTCATATCCTCGAGCGGCTAGAAGGGGATATGAGCACAGCGAGCTCCGGAGACTTGAACGTGACGCACTGCATCGAGTAGACCAGGCGTGTCAATCGCTTGCCACCGTAGATACTTGTAGTCCATGTGTCCCACAAAGAGTGACTTTGTCGTGAAGGCATAAGGCTGCACATCGACGTCTGCGCGTGTGATCTTGTTGATGAACGACGATTTGCCGACGTTAGGATAGCCACAGACGAGCAGCGTGCGCGTGGTAGGATCTATTGCGGGCAGACGCGACATATGCTGACGAACTTGCTCGAGATAGGCGAGCGAATCCTTCTGTCTCCGCATAATCGTTGCCATTCTGTCGAGTAGATCGTATCAGCTCTTGACTTTCGTGTACATGCAGACACGGCACACCTTCCAAACGCGGCACGTTTGAGCTGCTTGCAGCGATACATGCTGTCGCCGAATTTGAGCAGGCGCAAGTAGTCCTTGCCGACCTGATCGATCAGATGGCGACAAGTGTTGAGCTGACCAAGCGCTAGCTTGTAATGGTTCTTGTCGTAGAGCACATTGAGTAGAGACGACAGGAAAGGGTGCAAGTTCTGGGAAACGGCCGCGAGCTCAGTCTCTGTGTGCGAGAAGTAATGACGAGTCATACTCACGTCAAGGATGGGAAATTCGTCGAGGATTGCACCAAGCTTTTGATCAAATGTCTGCTGAGTGAACTTGACTTTGCGCATGTAAAATGACCGGATGCGGGAGATCTTGAAGCCCTTGTGGATCTGAGTAGGCGTTCTGCGTTGGGTACCGCTCAATACGATGTCTGTGTGTCATGCGTGGTCAGTCGGAGTCTCTGTACATCGACAGAGCAACTCACCTAAGAAATCATTCGCAGTCGGCACGGGCGCAATAGCTTTGATGCCTCGAGCGGCCATCTTGTTCAGCGGAGCGAGCTGATTAGATACCGAGCTGCTGCGTTTGCCGCACGAGTGGTGCACAAGCGGGGAGGGTCTTTGATGTCAAAACTTGACGTCGGCAAGAAATTTGCGACTGGCAATCGACACATCTGCCCCGCCGTACCCCTCCTTTATCGCACATCAGAGAGCCACCAGCGAAGATGCTAGGGGGACTAGCAGCGGCAGACATTGCTCATCGAGCAGTCGTCACTTCACTAGCAGCACTCACGATCTATGGCAAGCTGCACGGAAGCCTCGGAAATGCATAGCAGGCTGACGATCACATAGGTGGAGTTGCGTTCGGATTTGGCGTGAGGAACATGCGTCTAGAGCGAGAAGCAGCGCTAGCCAAGCACGAGGCTGTATGCTGACCTACCTTGGCGGCCGATGAAGCGCTGACCTGCGATTCTCAGGAAATCTTTGCGCAAAGAACGGTCAAGGCGCCGGAGCAGGTACCTGCAGAGATCGACTTGCACGAGAGATAGCGTCAAGAGGCAGTGCACATGACCAAGAGGCTAGGACAGAACATGCATGTTGTATCCCATACGTTGCTTGCTATATCGACAAGTTTACGCACGACCTCTTCGTCCGCGTACTGCACCTCGCGCTGCACCTCTAGGCATCTGAGGACCGCCCGATTGCGTCTCCGATTTGGGATTGCGAATGGTCTCGTCGACGCTGAGCACGAGCGTTGCTGCTTCCGAAGCACCTTCTATAGCATTGACCTTGACGAGTGCGGGCTCCCAGACGAATTTGTCCATATTGTTCGCCACGCCGTCATTTTCTACATCGACACCCGCCCAAGTATCGCCACGAGCATGCAACATGCGAAGCTTATTGAGCACATCTGTCGCATCGATGCCCGCATTGTCGCAGAGCTGTCGTGGGATGATCTCGAGTGCGCGAGCAAATGCGCCGATGATGAGCTGCTGCTTGCCTTCAATCGTGCGCGAGTGATCGCGAAGATACTTTGAGATCTCCATCTGTTTGTCACGGATCAGTGTTCGTCCAGCACCGATGGAAACGATTCGCACCTCGATCGCACCACCGCCGGCAACGACAGCGTTGTTTTTTATCGCTCGTCTGACGATCATGATAGCGTCGTGCAGACTCCTTTCGACTTCGGCAATGAATTGCTCAGCTCCACCTCTGAGGATGAGCGTGCACGTCTTTGCACCCTGACAGCCTTCGAAGAAATTGAATCGTTCGCTTCCGATCTGCTTCTCTTCGAAAGTCGCGCATTTGCCCAGATGCTTCTCATGTATATCGCTCGTCGTGCTCTGGATCTGCCCTCCGACGGCTTGCACTACTCGCTTCAGATCATCTTGTGCAACTCTACCTGCGCAGAAAATGTCCCTGTCTGCAAAGTATTGGGTGGCCAGGTCGCCAATCGGTAAGCGAGACAGGACGACTTTGGCACCCGTTGCTGCTATCGCTTCCAATTTGTTGTAGATGATCTGCCATTCTGCATCGACGATCGATTGATAATCCTGCATGTGCCACAATGGTCAGCTTTTGCGAGAGCTGACAGACTGCCGGCACAACGCACATCAACCTGATCGATCCTGACTTCGGCATTATCTCGTTCTGCTTTCAGCTCGAGCTCGACATTGAGACATAGCACGCTCGGGTTCTTGAATGACTTTGGTTGTTGCTCGAAGCCGGCGTACGAGAAAGTCTTCTTGAACGCAACGCCCCTGACAAGGAGCGAGTCTTGCATGCCCCCACCTGGGATCTTTTTGATGCCGATCAGATTCTCGTCTAGATCGACTTGATCCAAGGTGAGAACGGCGTCGACGACCATGTTTGAGAAGAAAGGCTTCTGTGAATGTATCAATTTGGAAGCTGCGAGCGTGTCAATACGCGACTGAGCACTTGTCAAGAAACGTACACATCGAGGTTGCTGCACATTTCATGAGAAGGTCTCGGAAGCGGCTGCAAGAAGGGCCTAGTCAGCGCAGCACGCTCCACGGTGGCGGCAACCTACGTCTCATCAGTCTTGTCAATTTTGACGGCTAGCTCTTTGACGCGTTGAACGGCCTGTGATGAGACGACTTTGGTGAGCTCGGCTGAGCCCATCAGAGGCGTACGCACAAGTTGCGCGGCTCTCCGATAGCCTTTGACGATGACATGAGGACTGACGCCCTCCTCGACAAACTCTTTGGAGACCCTGAGCAACTCGGCAGCGAGGAGGGTGACAGAGGTCGTGCCGTCCCCCACTTCTGCGTCCTGTGCTCTCGCGATGTCGACAAGCGTTCTCGCGGCGGGATGAACGACTTCGAGCAGGCGTAAGATGGTTGCTCCATCGTTCGAGATGGTCGCTTGTCCTCTTGCGTCGACGATGAGTTTGTCCATCCCTCTTGGACCGAGCGTCGTGGCGACCGTGTTGGCGACTGCTATGCATGCATTGATGTTGCTCAGCAGCTGCGGTGTACCTTGCGATGTATCGGTCCCCTCTGTGCATGGCCATACATGAGTTTTGCAGAGAGAGAGAGCAACATCAGCAGGAGCTTGCCTCTCAGCACGATCACTGTCGGCTGGCCCTGCGTATGTTGAAGCGTCAGCATAGAGTGTCATTCCATGCAAGACACGCACCATGCCCATCGGCATTCGTCCTGCCATGCTTGCCTGCGTGCCTTGCGAACAAGTTCAGCTCGACAGTTGGCTCAAAGAATTTTGGCGACTGCTCGACTCGAACTCTGCGACCCATTCAGCGAGCCCTCTGCGCCATGTCCTTCGACTCGCTGGGTCTCGAGCCCTTTCTGTGCCGGGCACTCGACTCCATGTCGATCCGCAAGCCAACAGAAGTCCAAGCGGCTTGCATACCGCCAATACTCCAAGGCAGGGACTGTATTGGCTCGGCGCAGACAGGTTCAGGCAAGACCATCGCATTCGCCACGCCAATCTTGCAAGCGCTCGCTGAAGATCCGTACGGCATCTTTGCGCTCGTACTGACGCCTACAAGGCAAGCCAGAATGCTGCCCTGAATGTCGAGTCAAAGTCGCTAACGACACGCTCCTAGAGAGCTTGCCTTCCAGATTGCAGACCAGTTCGTGGCTCTGGGCACACCCATCAACTTGCAGTCCACAGTCGTAGTCGGCGGACTCGACATGATGGCTCAGGCGACTGCGCTCCGCTCAAGACCTCACGTCGTCATCGCTACGCCAGGCCGACTCGTCGACCTCATGCGCTCGAATCAGAACGAATTCAGCTTTGCTCGGCTGCGCTTCCTCGTACGCGCACATCCACCTGCATCAGACTCGAGCTGATGATCCTACAGGTGCTGGACGAGGCCGACAGGATGCTCAATCCGACTTTCGCAGACGAGCTGGGCTACATACTCGCAGCATTGCCTAAAGAGCGTCAGACCTTACTGTTCACTGCTACCGTCACAGATGCTATCACGGAGCTCCAGCAGAAGACGCCCGAATCTGGCAAGAAAGAGCCCTTTGTGCACCTTGCGCAAGCAGAGTACTGTCGCTTGTCCAGCGCCAGCGCACGAGCTGATCTAATTTGCAGACTAGCTACGCCTGAGAATCTGAGGCAGCTCTACGTCTTCATTCCGACCACAGTGAGGGACACGTACCTGTATGCCTTGCTCAAGAATATGTCCGCGCTCACAGGTCAGCATGCGAGGCCACGCAAGCGTGTTCGTGTCGAGCCGAAGAAGCAGCCCCACCGAAAGCACGGAAAGAAGCCGCAACCTGTGCAAGAAAGTGATGAAGAGGGAGAGCCCCTACCTCAGACCATTCTCTTTGCTTCTCGATGTCGACTTGCAGCTCAACTCTCCGTCATGCTCACCGAACTCGGCATACCCAATACCGCCCTGCATTCGCATCTCACCCAAAGAGATCGCCTAGCGTCATTGAGTCGTTTTCGAGCATCAGCCGTCCCCTTGCTTGTAGCGACGGATGTGGGCAGCAGGGGGCTCGATATACCCGAAGTCGATGTCGTCCTCAATTACGACGTGCCAAGGAATCCTGACGACTACATCCATCGGGTCGGTCGTACAGCTCGTGCAGGACGAGGGGGTGTCAGCGTTTCGTTCGTCACAGAGGGCGATGTCGACTGTGTCGACGGAGTGGAGCAGCGCACTGGAATCCGGATGGCCAAGCTAGAAATGAACGAAGAGTCTGTTCTGGAGGACCTCAACAAGGTCTCTACCGCGAAAAGGGTAGCCCTACTCCAGCTGAGTGCAGATAAGTTCGGAGAGCGTCAAGAGATCAACAAGCGCAAGAACGAGATCCGCGCCGCAGCTGCTGGTAAAAGCATGAAGCTTCGCAAGGAAGGTCAACTTCGCAAAGATGCATAAGAAATGCGATAGAGCCAGATGCATAATAAACAGCTAGTGGACGAGTCTAGATGGCAGCGCCGCCTGCGCCAGTGTTGGTCGCACCAGCACCTGCGCCAGTCTGGCCAGTGGCGGAGCCTGCGAGGCCTGCGCCGGAAGTTCCAGCACCACCTGCTGCGCCAGCGCCGCCAGCCGCAGTGCCAGCAACACCTGCGGCACCATCTGCCTTTTGGCCTGCTGCGCCCGATGCTCCGAGTGAGCCAGCACCGTTCGCGCCAACGCCAGCGGCGCCCTCGAGGTTCTCGCCCGCCGCGCCGGACATCTGTCCTGCCGA